TTCTGGGACTAACCTCTTTAGAACAAGTCTTACTGAAATTTGACTTCAGCTGAAAGACCAGCGTTCTTAAAGAAGACGCATATCCGAAACACAGGGCCAACTTAAGGCAATGTTTCGGATAATGGCTCTCTGGGATACAAGGCTCAGTTAAGGCAATATCCCAGAATTGTCCATGGACTCATGTCTTTGGAGAACAGGTCTTACTGATGTTTGATTTCAGCTGAAAGACCAGTGTTCTTTAAAAAGACTGAGTTTTGTAACCCATCTGAAACCCAGTTACCCGAAGGCGAAGGTTTCAGACGAGGCTGATTTAAAAAGGCTGTTATCCTTGATTTTCTGTCTATCTTTGAAAAATGGATACCCGAAACACAGGGCCAACTTAAGGCAATGTTTCGGATAATGGCTCTCTGGGATACAAGGCTCAGTTAAGGCAATATCCCAGAATTGTCCATGGACTCATGTCTTTGGAGAACAAGTCTTACTGAAGTTTGACTTCAGCTGAAAGACCAGTGTTCTTTAAAAAGACAGGTTTTGTCAGCAATCTGAAACCCAGTTACCCGAAGGCGAAGGCTTCAGACGAGGCTGAATAAAAAACCCTCAAAGAGTAGATAGAACAAAGAAAATTTTGAAAGGATAAAAAGTTGTAAATTTTATATAAATGGCGGCTCCAAGGCCTGTCATTAGTTCAAAATGTACTTACAAAGATTGTTCTGCCCCGAAGGGTTTACACATGGTATTTTTTTCAGTACATCAGCATTCCAGTGATTCTTCAACTCAGTTCCATCCAACTGCCGAAGTCGGTATGTCCCTGGCTGAAGCTCATCATAAATTTCATAAGGTCCCTCCCATGTAGCTGAGAGCTTCCCATGGATTCGGCCTTTCTGAACTGCAGCAGCATTCCGAAGGACAAGATCCCCAATTTTGAGAGGCCTTGCATGGACCCTTCGGTTATGGGAGATGAGGTCTGAACTTATCCCGGGCATATCAGCTGCCGAGAAAGCAAACACATCTCTGTTATCCCGAAGGAGCTGAATAAGTTCACAACGGGTGTCAGGATCAAGGTCCATCCCGATTGTTACACATTTCTCAGCATCTCCTTCGGCCAACTCAACTGTTTCAGTCTGTTGGTCCATGTCCATTGCCGATGGACTGGACTCTTCAGAATCTGGTCTGCTGCCAATGTCAGCAGGTGTCCCAGTCTTTGTGTTCTTCGGCTGGCTCTCTGAGTCTTTCGGCTCAGATGAAGAGTCAACCTTTTCCCTTTCGGGACCTTTTTCTCTGGGCACTGATCCTTGGGCCGAAGCACTTAGGCCTTTCGGCTTTTTTGTGCTTGGCTCTCTTTCTTTTTCTTTCTCCTCCTCATCCTTGTCGTTATCTGGGCGACTACTGGATGGCTTGAGGTAGTTGCACCTTCGGGCGTCCTTCTGGTTGCCCTGTATCCTTTCGGGGAAGCCGGCGTCTGAGACATAAATCATCAGCTGATGATAAGTTGAGACGACCCCTTGGATCTCGTGAATTATGGGTCTCCCCAAAATCACGTTGTACACTGAAGGAGCGTCGATGACCAAAAACTCAATCATGACGTTCCGGGCTGCCTCATCGCAACCGATGGTGACAGGAAGTGTCACCTTCCCATCTGGATAAGTTGAAGCCCCATTGAACCCGGATACCGGATAGGGTACCGGCGTAAGGTGCTTGGGCTTCAGCTTAATTTGGTTGTAGGCCTTTCGGAACAGAATGTTTGCTCCGCTGCCACCGTCAACAAGGACCTTACTGACGTCGTGGTTGGCCACCGTGGCGATGATCACCAACGGATCCTCGTGAGGGAACGTAATCCCCCGGCAGTCGGCGGCTGTGAACGTCATGTTCGGCACCGGCGACTGGGGAGATTGAATGTCAGCGTTGTTCACCTGGTGAGTCAAAGCTCTAAGGTGACGCTTGTGCTCCCTCCGAGAGTATATTCCTCCCGAGATAACATTGATCGGAGGGAATTTCCCCTCCGGTTTTTTACTGTTTTTCCGGGGGAAATCAAGGTCCTGCCGAGGGTCCTTTGCTAGCCTCTCGGATTCTTTTTTCTCGCGGTGATCCGCGATGTATTTTTTCAAGTATCCCTTCCGGACCATGTCTTCTATCTGGTCCTTCAGCTGGATACACTCCTCAGTGTTGTGGCCCGAGGAATCGTGGAACTCACACCACTGATTTTTATTTTTTCGCTGATACCACTCTGGGAGTGGTCTCGGCTTTCGGTAACTCTGCTCCTCCTTCGTCACACTGTAAATTTTGGCGCGTGGAAGAGAGAGCGGAGTGTAGGACTCGTATCTGCCTGTGTATGAGGCAAACCTGTCCTTCTTTAGGTCGCTGGCCGAAGATGGCTCCGAGGCCTTTGATTTTCCCTTTGCCTTATGGCCTTGGCCTTCAGACAAGGGTATTTGCCTCTGTTTCCCTCCCCCGGATTGAGGTTGGGTTTTTGCTTTATTCCATTCTTCGGCTCGGATGAACTTATCCGAAGCACTAAGAGCTTCCTCCAAGGTCTGCGGGGTATGCATGACCATGAAGTCTAGGAATTTTCCTGGCTGAAGGCCATTCTGCATTGCAAAAACAGCTAGCCCCTGGTCCAGCTGAGAGACGCTTGATGACTCGTTACTGAAACGGGTCAGGTAGTCTCGGAGGCTTTCGGTTTCCCCCTGTTGCAGACCCATGAGCTCTGCGGTAGTCTTTTCTCGGCGGTTTGCCGTGGAAAACTTGCTCCTGAACTTGGAGGACAGATCATCCCAACCTGTTATGGAGCCTTGCCTTACTCCCTTGGAGATCCACGCTTGCGCGACCCCCTTGAGAGTGGTTGGGAAATATTTGCACCAAGTCGCCTCGGATCTGGGGCAAAGATGCATATGAGTCTCATACGAGGCCACGTGGTCCTTCGGATCCGTGGTCCCGTCATATGTGATATGCGACGGTATTTTAACCGTGGGTACGCGCTCTTCCAGTATCCATTGCTCGAATGGTGAACTAGCGGGAAGCATAATGGCCTTGCCCTTGTTCCTGGCTGAAGGGACCGCGCTCCGCCCTCTTAGAGAGGTAGGAGTGGTTTTCGTCCCTGGCTGGGAAGTCTGGGCCTCGGCTGCAGGGAACGAGAGGCGACTACGCACGCTCGGTTCCTGGCCGCCGAGTCGGTCAAGGACGCTTCTGCGAGCAGTCTCGGGTTCCCGGCGAGTAGATTCTGGCCGAGAAGCTGAGCTGCTGCTCTTATGCGCTGCTGGTCTTGAGGATGAGGATCCTTTAAATAATTGAGAGTTCTTCTTCCTCTGTTTTTCATTTTTCCAAGAATCCTCCTCCCACTCTTCCAGTTCCCGGAAGGAAGGAAGCTTCCCACCGTCATGGTCTAACTTCCTCCGCTGATGCCGGGTATGCGGAGGAGTTCGATCACGAGGCGGTGGCATATTCTGTGCCCTCATTGCCTCCATGAGTACTGCCAGCGCTCTTGCCACCTCTTCCGAACTGGGCCCCGTCAAAGGGGTCCCCGGCCGAGTGTGGGCATGAGGCCGTGCAGCCGATGGTTGGCTTCGGGACACTGAATATGTCCTATGATCAGACTGACCCCTGCTAGACCGAGAGTGGTCCGGCCTATATTGAGAGTCATGCATTATAGGAGATAGGGAATCCTCCTTGTGTGATCCTCCCCCCGAGCCGGCACCCTTGGGAGAGTTCCGGTCCGGCGTGGGCGATGGTGTAGGGGTTTTAGGCTTTTCGCCCGCTCCTTGACGGAGGCTTTTGCTCTTGCGGTTCTTAGCCATGGCTGCTAAGATAATTGCAAGATGATCTTGGTTAGGAATTTGGCTTAAAGATTTTTGAAAGTCTTCCCCACAGACGGCGCCAAATTGTTTCGGTTGAAAACAATGGGACCTTGCCGAAGGTCCACTGAAATGGAGAAGACTGGATTCGATCCAAGCTGTGTTGGGCCGAAGGTTTCCTGCACAGTGAACACACGTAAACTAGCCTCGGGGGTGTTTCCGAGGAAGGCCCCTCCGATGCTAAAGTCAGTACAATGTGTAAAAAGGAAGACACTATGCAAGAGAGTTTGTAGCTTGAGGCTTTTGTGGAGTATTTCTCAATGCAAGAATGAGCATATGAATTGGAATAATCAGTGTATGTGATAATGTATGTGATAATGTATGTCATCTCCCCTTGAATGTGTTAATATGAGGGCTTTTATACCTCATCATACTTGGAGAGGTTGGGCTTTAGCCCAATTGGCTTACTTTGTGGGCTGACTTTTGACTTTTGAGCAATTGGAGAGTTGAACCTTGACCTTGGGCTTTTAATTGGATCATTTAGTGCTCAGGCCCAATTTTGACTAAATTGGACCCAAACACCCTAATTTGTTAAAAAGTACTGGTATGATCATGCATACAAAAGTCAAGCAGCACGATGATCCAAAATAGTAAAAGTCAACCAACAATTAAACAACAATTCAGAAGAGAATCGCTGCATATTTCAAAAGAAAAAAAAAAAAAAAAGAAGAGAATCGTTTCAGAAGTGTGTTCATCTCTCTATATATTTGATCTATCATTTCCTCTTTATTCGACTAATATAATACTAAGCAATTGTAGAGGAACGGAACACAATAAGCTTGAAAGAAAAGTGCAATATTATGTCATGCTAGTCAACAAGCCAAAAGTATCAGAAAATAGCCTAACTCAAAGTCTCAAACAATCAACAACTAGAAGAAATGTATGAAGGCAACTTGGATTCTATTTCAAGGTTTCTGGAAAAACAACATAACTAAAGAATTCCCAGTAAAAGCATGCCTCTACCTTCCACTTTTCTGAGAGATCTTTAAACCAATCATGATTCTCTGCCATTTGCATTGGTTCAATTATAGACTTGTCGATCAACAGATCAAGCCAGGAGTCACCAACAGTTATGAGATCAGCTGTGATAGTAGATTTTGGAGAAGCTTCTTCCTTAAGTATGGACCTTGAAAGTTTAGAATAAACATCTTAAAGGGTTCCACGGAACTGCACACTTAGCTTTAATCTCTTTCCTTGAGACTGAATGAAATCCTACAAGTTTAAACTGTATGGTAAGCGATCTACTGTTCCAAATAGTACACAGCTGGTTGTCAACTGGATGCGTGGGTGTTTGGGGGGGGGGGGGGTTGGGTGGTGCCAGTGCAGCCAGATTACTAAACAAACCAACAGACCTTGATCCAGGCAGGTGGTACAGAGCCTTGTAGAGCAACAACTTTCAAAGGGACAGTCAAAGCATATGTTTTGGATTTCCATTTTTCAAATTCTTCACGCTGCTGTTCACTATCCACATTTTGCACACCTCTTTCTGAAACATTATCAGAATGCAAAGATACAAACCCATGTCACCTTTACACGCTTTTGACCTTTACATTAATAACTATGGAAATAAAAAAACTAAAGGAGAACACCAAGAATTAAAATGCACCTTCAGCAACGATTTCCTCTTGAACTGGTGGGCATGTAGCAGGATCAACAGCAGCAAGGGCATTAGATGTCTTACTAGAAAATGAAAAGGTAAAGATGCCAAGCGTGACCAATATCAAGGACGAGGTAGAAGCCTTAACAAATGCTCGAGGCAATTTGAACCACAGGCATTCCTTGGAAGAGGTAGACACTGACGAACTCACATCCAATTGCCGATTTGATGAAGCATTTATCCTAGGAAAGCTAAGACTCTTGTGAGGAAACACAATAGTAGGCCGACGGCAAGCAGATGCAGGATATAGACAATTGAGTGGTGGCTTTACTAAATTCATTCTTGAACCCACAGGTAATAACTTATCAATGCAGCCATAATTTGAGAATAAGGCCATCAAAAACTTCGATACTCATCCAAGATTTGCAATGCACACTTTAACCCAATATTCAGAACACAAGTTTTCACAATAACCTCTGCAATAATATAAAAAAAATAATCAATTAAAGACCCAGAAAAATTACAAGTTCAAGTTCACTATTTCATTTTATCTTCAACCTCAATTCTGGTAATGATAAATAAATAAAAACCCAGAAATCACTATATCATTTTATTTTCGGTAACAAACATAATTTATTTATACACTTCATCTCATGATTTCACATTTTTATGAACTACTAGTTTGAAGCATTAAAATCACATGTTTGGGTCCAATTTAGTCCAATTGGGCCTAGGCATTAAATGATCCAATTAAAAGCCCAAGGTCAAGGTTCATCTCTCCAATTGTGCTAAAGTCAAAGATCAGTCCTCAAGGCAAGCCAATTGGGCTAAGGCCCAACTTCTCCATATATGCAAAGGTATAAAAGCCATCAATATTACATTTGTACATTCATTAAAAAAAAAGCCTCAAGCAATTAATTCTCTTGCATAGTGTTCTCTTTCTACACACTGTACTGACTTTAGCATCGGAGGGGCCTTCCTCGACAACACCCCCGAGGCTAGTTTACGTGTGTTTACTGTGCAGGAAACCTTCGGCCCAACATCACTTGGACCGAATCCAGTCTTCTCCACTTCATCGGACCTTCGACAAGGTCCCATTGTTTTCACCCGAAACAATTTGGCGCCGTCTGTGGGGAGGACTTTCAAAAATCTTTAAGCCAAATTTCTAACCAAGATCATCTTGCAATTATCTTAGTAGCAATGGCTAAGAACCGCAAGAGCAAAGGCCTCTGTCAAGGAGCAGGCGAAAAGCCTAAAACCCCTACACCATCACCCTCGCCGGACCGGAACTCTCCCAAGGGTGCCAGCTCGGGGGGAGGATCATACAAGGAGGATTCCCTTTCTCCCGTAATTCATAACTCTCATCATAGGTCGAGTCACTCTCGGTCTAGCAGGGGTGAGTCCGATCATATGACACATTCAGTGCCCCAAAGCCAACCATCGATTGTGCGCTCTCATTCCCATACTCGGCCGAGGACCCCTTTGACGGGGCCCAGCTCGGAGGAGGTGGCAAGAGCGCTGGCAGTGCTCATGGAGGCAATGAGGGCACAAAATATGCCACCACCTCGTGATCGAACTCCTCCGCATACCCGGCATCAACGGAGGAAGCTAGACCATGATGGTGGGAAGCTTCCTTCCTTCCGGGAACTGGAAGAGTGGGAAGAGGATACCTGGAAAACTGAAAAAGAGAGGAAAAAGAACCCTCAATTTTTCAAAGGATCCTCATCCTCCCGACCAGAAACGCATAAGAGCAGCAGCTCAGCTTCTCGGCCAGAATCTACTCACCGAGAACAACCTGAGACTGTTCGCCGAAGCGTCCTCGACCGACTCGGCGGCAAGGAACCGAGCGTGCACAGTCGCCTCTCGTTCCCTGCGGCCGAGGCCCAGACTTCCCAGCCAGGGACGAAAACCACTCCTACCTCTCTAAGAGGGCGGAGCGCGGTCCCTTCGGCCAGGAACAAGGGCAAGGCCGTTATGCTACCCGCCAGTTCGCCATTCGAGCAATGGATACTGGAAGAGCACGTGCCCACGGTTAAAATACCGTCGCACATCACATATGACGGGACCTCGGATCCGAAAGACCACGTGGCCTCGTATGAGACTCATATGCATCTTTGCCCCAGATCCGAAGCGACTTGGTGCAAATATTTCCCAACCACTCTCAAGGGGGTCGCGCAAGCGTGGATCTCCAAGGGAGTAAAGCAAGGCTCCATAACAGGGTGGGATGATCTGTCCTCCAAATTTAGGAGCAAGTTTTCCACGGCAAACCGCCGAGAGAAGACTACTGCAGAACTCATGAGTCTGCAACAGGGGGAAACCGAAAGCCTCCGAGACTATCTGACCCGTTTCAGTAACGAGTCTTCCAGCGTCTCTCAGCTGGACCAGGGGCTAGCCGTTTTTGCAATGCAGAATGGCCTTCAGCCCAAGTTCCTAGACTTCATGGTCATGCATACCCCGCAGACCTTGGAGGAAGCTCTGAATGCCTCGGATAAGTTCATCCGAGCCGAAGAATGGAACAAAGCGAAAACCCAACCTCAATTCGGGGGAGGGAAACAAAAACAAATACCCTTGTCTAAAGGCCAAGGCCATAAGGCAAAGGGAAAGTCAAAGGCCTCGGAGCAATCTTCGGCCAGCGACCCAAAGAAGGAAAAATCTGCCTCATACACAGGCAGATACAAGTCCTACACTCCGCTCTCTCTTCCACGCGCCAAAATTTACAGCGTGACGAAGGAGGAGCAGAGTTACCGAAAGCCGAGACCACTCCCAGAGTGGTATCAGCGAAAAAATAAAAATCAGTGGTGCGAGTTCCACGAATCTCCGGGACATAACACTGAGGAGTGTATCCAGCTGAAGGACCAGATCGAGGACATGGTCCGGAAGGGATACTTGAAAAAATATGTCGCGGATCACCGCGAGAAAAAAGAGTCCGAGAAGTCAGCAAAGGACTCTCGGCAAGACCTCGACTTCCCCCGGAAGAACAGTAAAAAGCCAGAGGGGAAATTCTCTCCGATCAATGTTATCTCGGGAGGAATATGCTCTCGGAGGGAGCACAAGCGACACCTTAGGGCTTTGACTCACCAGGTGAACAACGCTGACATTCAGTCTCCCCAATCACCGGTGCCGAACATGACGTTCACAGCCGCCGACTGCCGGGGGGTAACGTTCCCTCACGAGGATCCGTTGGTGATCATCGCCACGGTGGCCAACCACGACGTCAGTAAGGTCCTTGTTGACGGTGGCAGCGGAGCAAACATTCTGTTCCGAAAGGCCTACAATCAAATCAAGCTGAAGCCCAAGCACCTTACGCCGGTACCCTACCCGGTATCCGGGTTCAACGGGGCTTCAACTTATCCAGATGGGAAGGTGACACTTCCTATCACCATCGGCTGCGATGAGGCAACCAGGAACGTCATGATTGAATTTTTGGTCATTGACGCTCCTTCAGTGTACAACGTGATTTTGGGGAGACCCATAATTCATGAGATCCAAGGGGTCGTCTCAACTTATCATCAGCTGATGATTTACGTCTCAGACGCTGGCTTCCCCGAAAGGATACAAGGCAACCAAAAGGACGCCCGAAGGTGCAACTACCTCAAGCCATCCAGTAGTCGCCCATATGACGACAAGGATGAGGAGGAGAAAGAAAAAGAAAGAGAGCCAAGCACAAAAAAGCCGAAAGGCCTAAGTGCTTCGGCCCAAGGATCTGTACCCAGAGGTAAAGGGCCCGAAAGGGAAAAGGCTAGCTCTTCAGCTGAACAGCAAGACTCAGAGAGCCAGCCGAAGAACAAAAAGACTGGGACACCTGCTGACATAGGCAGTAGGCCAGATTCTGAAGAGTCCAGTCCATCAGCAATGGACATGGACCAACAGACTGAAACTGTTGAGTTGGCCGAAGGAGACGTTGAGAAATGTGTAACAATCGGGATGGACCTTGATCCGAACACCCGTTGTGAACTTATTCAGCTCCTTCGGGACAACAGAGATGTGTTTTCTTTCTCGGCAGCTGATATGCCCGGGATAAGTCCAGACCTCATCTCCCATAAGCTTAATGTTGACCCAACGTGTCGACCAATTAAGCAAAAGAAGCGGAATTACTCCGCTAATAAGAACCGAGACATCGCAGCCGAGGTCAAAAAATTGCTGGAGGCAGGCTTCATCGAGCCTTGCCAATATCCAGAATGGCTGGCAAATGTGGTGATGGTTCAGAAGGCCAATGGTACCTGGAGGTTGTGCGTTGACTTCACGGACCTAAATAAGGCTTGTCCGAAGGATTTCTATCCCTTGCCGAGGATCGATCAGCTAGTCGATTCGACAAGTGGCCATGCCTTGCTTAGTTTCATGGACGCATTCTCGAGGTATCATCAGATCTTCATGCACCCCGACAATCGAGCAAAGACGGCATTCGTCACGAACGCTGGGGTGTACAATTACAAAATGATGCCCTTCGGATTGAAAAATGCGGGGGAAACCTATCAAAGGCTGGTGGATCAAGTTTTTGCCGATCAAAAGGGCCGAAACATGGAAGTCTATGTCGACGATTCGATCGTCAAAAGCAAAAAATCTGAGGACCATGTTAAGGACCTGGCTGAAACTTTCGCCACCTTAAGAAAGCATCAAATGAAGCTGAATCCGAAGAAGTGTGTCTTCGGCGTGAAGTCAGGGAAATTCCTTGGGTTCATAGTCAGCAAGAGGGGGATTGATGCCAATCCCTCCAAAGTCAAAGCAGCGCTCGACCTTCCTGAGCCGAAAACAAAGCGGGATGTTCAGCGGCTCACCGGAAGAATGGCAGCCCTCTCGAGGTTCATTTCCAGAGCTTCGGATAAGGGGTTACCTTTCTTCAAAGCCCTGAAACTCCCGAAAACAAAAGAGCTCGTTTGGGAGGAAGAGCAAAAAGACGCCTTTAAACAGCTTCGGGAGCATCTGGCTCAACTCCCAATGCTGGCTAGCCCAGCAGAAGGAGAAACTTTGTACATGTATGTGGCCGTTAGCCCAGCCACCATCAGTGCAGTACTGCTGAAGGAAGAAAGCAAAAGTCAGC